ATGAAAATAGGACTTGGCAACAATGTGATTATGCTACTGATGAGGGGAAAATCAGAGACTACTCCAGGTCTATAATCTGAGAACCTTAGAGAATAGTGGGTCAACTGACCAAAATGAGGAAGGTTGGACAGGGGAATAAGCTCAGTTTGGGGCATGTTTGGTGTGAGGTGATGACTAATGTTCTATGATCATTTGGATACACAGACTAGGATGCTGATTAGAGGTCAGAGTTAGGAATAGAGACCTCAGTCTTCTAATCCTTATGGGGCAATTGTTTTGTCTTTACATCAACAGTGCCTAGCATCATGCCTTCCATATGATGAATACTTAAATATTAAATTCAATCAAATTGTGCTGATAGTTAAAACCATGAGAGTAGATCTCCAGTAAAGAGGGTACATAGAAGATCCAAGAGCTAAATCTTGGGAAAATTTCTAGGGAATGAGCATTCAGAGAGGTAGAAGGAAAACCAAGTAATCCAGCATCAAAGAAACTTGAGCAGTAGAAACATAGCTAGCAACCAAGAAATGGCCTATAACTTTAAAAAAACTACTTGAAAAAACACATCTATAATGGAAAAGTCCTTTATCTACTTCCTTCTAAACTGTCATCCTGTAATCAATAATTTTAATCCAAAAATAGTAGGAAGAAGTAATGTCACAATGTCATTAACTTTTAGATCTTTCTATTGTTGTTATAGCTTCCCCTATCACATCAACTTAAAAAGCTAAGACTTTTCTTAGGAGACCTGCATTTTAATGAAGGCAAGCCTCATTTAATGAAGTCCTCAGGCAATTTCTGGAACACCTGTAAGTAGAGAAAAGCTTAATGCTCTAGCAACTCGTGTTAGCAATACTTTATCCATGCTGTACTGGGAAACATAAAGTTCACATATGGAAAAAAGGAGACTTCTTAGATCTCATTAATCAGGCTTTAAATTGTAACTCCTGAGGGTTGCATAAGGAAAAGTGATGGGGTAACTTGCTGGGAATGCATGGCACAGTGGGGAGGAAAGGGAAGGGAAGAGTTAAGCATTTATTGAGTGCCTACTATATCCCAGGCACTGTGATAATTTAGAGTCAAAGGACCTGGGTTTGAATCCTGCCTTAGCCACTTATCTTCGTAACCTTGGTCTTAACATTTAACTTATCTGGGTCTGACTTTCCTCACCCATAAATTAAAGACTATGTAGCCTCCAATGTCTCTTCCAACATAAAATCTATGATCTTATTAACATTAAAGAAAAGGTACAGCAATCCATGGACAGGCTGTTGAGAAGCTGGGAAGCTTTGCTATAGTGGCTAAATGACATTTCTTCTGCCTTAATAATGTGGTGTTTCCAAAGAAATGGATGCTTGATTTCTAAGTATGTTTTGATGTTTTTTTTAATTTATCATTCATATTTCACTCCCTTAATGACATGATTTGAGGTTACCACCAAGAAATGATAGAACTAACTCCATCATCATGTCCATACTGCAAGCATGAAGACAAGCTATTTCTTAGCATGACTCTATCTGTGGAGTATCACATATGGGTACACTTTGAGCCCCTGCTCATCACTAGCCCATCACTAATATCTTAACTTGGTATGACTAACTCCAAGAAAGTTGCTGGCAGTTTTGTTAATGAATAATTTCCAGCTGTGTGAGTTCCCTTCATGTCCTTGTCCAAATGGAGGCTAAGTTTTCTAGGTCAGCTCCTACATGGAACTAGCCATCCATGATGTAAATTTTCCCACTATCCTCTAAAACATGCCAACATGCCCAAAGAGGCAATGAAAGTATGAATGTTTAGGGTCCTCACTTGTGAACTATGTGCTCCTAGATACTAAGTATCCTGTAGCTGTATAGCACTTCCCACTGAAGTAGGATTTCTGGAAGGGACTTCAAAGGCCATCTAGTTCAACCCCCTTATTTTACAAATGAGGAAACTGAGGCTTAGAGAAGGTAAGTGACTTTCCCATAGTTACAAAGAAAGTAACAAAGGCAAGATTTGGACCCAGGTTTTCTTGACTCTAAATACAACACTCTGGCCTCTATGCCACATTTACTATTACAGTAGTTTTTAGTGATCCTGGCCCAACACCAGACATGAAAAAATATGATTTTGAGGTGCAACTTCTCCATTTTACATTGAGGCCATTTTTTGGCTGCTGGACAGAATTCATCCTTGCTCAGTTGAGATAAATCTGCAACAATAAAAAAAGAATCAGGGACCTACCTCCTCAGTAGAATCCAAAAATATTTCCAGTAGCAAATGGTACATACCTGTATAAACATCTAGACTCTTTGAATCTAAGTTCAAATTCTTCAGATTCACGAATGGTAGCTAATGAATAGGGAGGTCTCCACTATTTCTGGGCAGACAAACCCAAGCTGAGAAAAAGTCATATAGCCACACCCCTGGCCCTGAGATACCTGATGGTGAGTATCATAGCAGCACAGTACCAGAGGATGCCTCTTGCTAATAACAGAACTCATGGAAAAACTAGAACAAGTTATTCAGATCAACATAAATTACACTGTTGAGATTTGAGATTAATGGTAGTGATGAGACGTGAAGTTTTCAGAGCATGTATTGGTCTAGTACTGTAGATCTTCTATCTCTAAAGTAACTTCAGAAGGAAAAGTTAAGTGAAAATAGAAATTAAAAATATTAATGTAGGCATTTTCCCTGCAAACAAATATATTTCACTGGGGAGAAAGGGAGAGGGAAATTCTTAATATGAAAAACTGGAAGGTCCTTTCCAATTCTAAATCTATGACCCTATGAACTCTTGATTATAATAATGTATTTAATTTGATACAATATTGTGAGGTAGGCAGAGGAAGAACTATCATCTCCATTTTGAAAAGCAATAAAATTGAGGCTGGAAAGAGAGTAAATGACTTTCCCAAAGTCTTCCAACTAGTAAATAGTTAGAAAAGTCTGAATTGGAATCCAGGTCCTCAGATTGCTATTCTAGTTGAGATTGAGGCTGATCTCAAATTATCTGTCATAGATTTAAGTCTTTTGTATCCTCTAGCTTTGCCCCATACCCCATTTTATCATGGAGTATCTTGACACCTGGCACTTCGGTATCAATAGCCAAACGTAGGTTCTTAATAATCACAATAATGATAATACTGTTACCTTCATTTTAATAAATATCACCAAGAGTGTCCATAAATGGAATCTGCTTTCATTCAGTGAACAGACATTTGTTAGTACCCACTATATGCCAAGGACTGGGCTGGGCACTAGAGATACAAAGCTATGCCTTTAAATATCACATAAATTTCAAAAGATCCTGAGCTTCTAAAAACAAATCACTTAAAATTAACTCAGGTTTGCTTAGGTGAGCAATCAGAATATCTGAATAAAAATAAATGATTAGTAGTACATTTTCAAGTAGAGGGCTTTCTTTGACTTGCCCTGACACTAAGGCAATCTTTGTCATTAGGTAATCCTTGGGACAACATTCCTGAGTCAGAATTGAAACCAATAGATGAGTGTTATCCAAAAGAAAGAGTGCCTCTTCCTGACTCCTTAAAATATAAGCATTTGAGCCCCATCACCAAAAAGCTTGTAAGTACCCAATTGAACCTGGTACTAGACTAAACACTGGATTGGGAAAACCAGTCTAAATGTTAAGAAAGCAAGTGACTTGGCATGATCGTTATTAGACTCTTCAACATCCAATGATGAAGCATCTGAGAACTCTAAAATGCTGGGAATGCATACATATTACTAGTTTACTTTGGGAAGTGACATTTAATTACAATGACTTTAAAGAGTTAACTGGTATAGACAGAAGGTATCTTTAGCTTAAGAAGGCAAGCTCCCCCCCCAAAAAAAAAACTTATATGAATGGCAGGAAGGAAAAAGATACTGGGGAAGAGGAGGGAGTTTTGACAAGTAGTAAAACATTTCTAAATTACATGAGAAAAAATTAAACGTGTTTGTCACTTCACATTCTAAAGGGCTCTTTATTTGGCTTAGGATACCTGCAAATGGCTGAAGCTTTTATTTTGTTTGGGGGAAAAAAAAACGGGATGAGGGGAACCATCTCTATATCAGGGGCCTAGCCAGTAAAGGAAGCTTTGGCTTTTGCACACTTTACAAAAAAAAAAAAAAAGATCTCCCAAATTCCTTCTGGCCAAACACATCGCCAGAGGAAATGAAAACTAGGAAAACAATTTGCACATAGAACAATGAGGTACGGTTTCACTTTGGTTTCAAGCATAAATATAAATTTGGTTCTAAAAAAAGGGGGTATTTAAAAGCAGAGATTGCAGTCTGGTATTTCACTATTTTAAATTAACAACTATAACTAAGTTCTACTTTTTCTATACTTGAGCGTGCTTCAGCAATAGAAAAGCCGTGGGAAAGCAAAGATACAGCTGTTTCCAGGCAAATGGCCCAGTACTGGTTCCAGCATCAACCACCAGAGTCTCCTGGATAACGAGGGAAACACACGCCCAAGGCGACTCACATGCACATGGGGGGGGGGGGCTGGTTGAGTGCTTGTAGTGTGTGTACACCAGTTTACAGTTTGTGAAGGATCCAGAGACTTCATGCAGGTGAAATAATTCCTCGCTGTATTCCGCGCAAAAATGATGTCCATGTAAATTTCATTTGGTTTCCTAGTCCCAGTTTACCCCACCACAGAAAGCGCTAAGCTGGTTACTTCCTTCCCCCTGGCTCCCACCACGAACACCCAGATGAGTTTCCTAAACTATCTCCAGCCTAACTAAAACAAAGAACGGTCTGTAATGGATGCAGTCTCAGCCTACAGAGCAGATCGGAGCCCAGAGAACCGCCCAAAGAAATCCACCTTGCATGGTGGCATGTTGGCCCGAAGTGAAGTTCTCGGGTCAGCGATCCGGGTGCTCCCGGCCCGAAATCAGCCAAAAGAGGAAAGCGGACAAAGGGACTGGGCTGCAGGGGCTGCGGTGAGCAGGAGCAGAAGCAGGAGGGGCTGCGGGGCGAAGGGGGAACGCCCGTACAGTACTCACCTTTGCAGCTGCTTTGCTCCGCTCCTCGTTGAGCAGGAGGGCAGCCAGCAGCAGCAGCAGCCAAACAACCGGCCGCGGACTCATCCTCCTCCACCTCCCGGGATAGCACCGGTAGCGGACTGGTCAGCTTGGCCTCGGCACCCTCCCCCCGCGGGCGAGGCACTGTTGCCTAGCCGGGGCTGCCGCGGGGTTTCTGGGCGGGAGGCTGGAGCGTTCACTCTCGGGGAGCCGGTGCGTGCTCACTCGACATCGTCCCTGGCGCTTCTGCTCTGCGCCAGCTCCTCCAGAGTCAGAGACTTAGAGCTGATCGCGTAGCTCCCCTAATTTGTTGGCGCTGTTCCCTCCCCTTTGGAGTGCGCGGGCGGCGTTTCAAATGGGAGGACCCTACTCTGTGCGTGTATGAGAGAGGGGGAGAGAGGAAGAGAGAGTCAGAGAGAGGAGAGGGAGCTTATGCTGGTAAGTAAAGAAGTCAGTGTCTCTGTGCTTTTAAAGCCTTCGGCTTCCTTAAGCACTCCAGCGGTCCTGCTCCGGTCCCTGGGTAAACCCCACGGAGCTGGGAGCTCTCCCTCTCCTGGTTTCTGAAGCCAGGATTTCGCGAGTAGGGGAGGGACCTCAGGGAACAAGGAGAGGAGAGGCGGAAAAGGGGGGTGGGGAGAGGAGAGTGCACTCCCTGTGTTTGTGTATCTCTGGCTTTTGCCTGCCACTTCCACTGGGAGACTCAGTTATGAAAAGGGAAATGCCTGCACCCAACAGCCCCTAAATCCTGGCCTGAAAAGGTGAGTGTGGACCCGTGGAGACCTGGGAACTCTGAGCCCTGGGGAAGGGAGGGCTAGAGATTTGAAGGTACAGGGAGCCCAGCGCAGACTCTGGTGCAGTTCTCTCGGAGTTTGGTCCGGGAAAGAGGGAGGGAGAGGAAAGGGAGATTTGTGTGGTTCCATATGAGACACTATTGCCTAAGAGGAAAGGGCTTCTCTTCACTGCCGCAGTTCTCACCTAAAGAGGGAAATCCAAGTCCCAGTTCCAGGAAAAACCCCATGAAGGAGAAGATGGTGAGGCGCCGGCATTCTGGGCTGCCAGCACTACTTCTCTCTTTGCACGAGTGCCAGGTGGGGAAGAGTGAAAAGAAACCGTGAAGTCAGCCTCTTTATTGGCTATTTCGTTTCCTGGTATCTGCTTCCAGGCTAAAAAGGCTCGCCATTCCTGAGAGCCCGGGGCTGCTCCGGTGGCCCAGGGGTCCGCGTTCGGGGGCTCCGAGGGGCAGTACCTGTTGGGAGAATGGGCAGAAGAATGGACCCAACTGCCAGAGTTGACCTTCGGCGGTAAGACCCTTCTCCCCTCTCCTCTCTGCCATTGGACTTAAATGTGTTAGTTTTGCGAACCACTTTTCAAAATATTTGTCTTTCTTCCACCTTCTCTCGTGTAGGTGTCTGCTGCTATTCGTGCTGATGGTAGTGCTAACTGAGAGGGCACATGCTGTAAGTACTCAGGTCCTTTTCTCTGCCTTTTAATTATGGCGCCATAGAGTTATGAACCGCAGGTATCTTTGACAAAAAGCTACTCATGGTTGGAGGAGGGGTGCTTGTGCTGTCTGCACGGACTACTAACTCTCCCAGCACTGCCCTATGAAAGTTTGTTTTATAAGTACTACTTTTCACCTCTCAGTTCTTCCCTGCTGGTGTTACCCTGCAACTACCTAGGAAAGGACCCGGCTTTGGCTGTTACACAATTTTTAGCAAGGAATTAAAAACATAGCCAAAGGCCATCATTTTCCTTTGGAGTAGGCATGCCCCAAACACTTGCAAAGAGACTAGGGTGTGAGCCACGTGGCTGGGAGTAACAAATAGTTGAAGGGAAGAAAAGCGTTTATTCACCTAAATACATGTTAGAGGCTGGATGACCGGCTGTTTCCTCTTTAGTTTTCTTTTTGTACCTGATTTTGAGGGGAAGTCAGAGAGATACCGAATTCACTAAAATAAAAAAGAAAATCGAAGAAAATATGCATGCTCCCGCCCAGTTTTTACTCTGTTCTTTGAAAGGCAGTTCTGTTGCTTACTAGCTGTGTGGCCTTGAGACAGTCACCCCACTTCTTGGGGCCTCAGTTTCCTCTTCTGTAAAAAAGATACTTTCCATCTCCAAAACTGTGGTCCCATGAGCTTAGAGCTAGATGAAGTGATAAAAAGCATCCCCGATCTGCTGGCATGTTATTGAACTTTGCTTTAGTTTAGAAATAATTAAGGTTACACATGGTGACTCTGTCTAAGAGAGTTAAAATTTTTTACTTTTACTTGTCTGGGCATAGCGTATGAAATTCAGTAGATTGAGTACACAGTATTTAAGCAAACCAAAATTATTAAGATCATTTGGCCAGCTCCTTCTCCTCAACTTCTGTTTTCTTTAGTATTTCTTCAGAATCTAGTTCCCCTGTAAGTGTTCAAGATACTATTATTCTAGGGGAAAAAAACCTTTTTTTTGCTCCTTCTGAACACATGCATACACAATGCTTTGTGAGACAGCCAGTCCATGGTAATTTTGGACAGCACTAATTATAAGAGTGTCATTCCTTAAATTGGGCCAGGAGTTGCCTCCCAGTAATTTTCACTCATTGGTCATTTTAACCTCTGAAGTCACACAGTGTCCAACCCCTCTTCTACATCACAGCTCTGGATGTGTGATGTTTGTTTTAACCACAGTCCTCCTCCCACCCCAAATATCTTTCTTGTTATCATATCTCTTCTCCTTCTTTCCTTCCAATTATAAAGATTCTCCTGAATTAGGCTTATGATTTGGACTTATTTTTCTACTTTTTCCACTCCATCTTTGCCTTCAATTTGGTTTTAAGGTCAAAATCAACCATGTAGGACTTAGGCCATCATAGTTATGTTTATGGGGAGAGGTTTCAGTGTTGGAGAAATTATTAAATTTAAGGAGAAAATCTGCACACGAGGGAATTTTTAAAATCCATTTCTCTCAGAAGAGATAGAATGTCTTTCTGCCCTTTTGTAGTAATTGTAACCCCTCATGTTACTGCAAACCACTAGTTTGGGTTAATTTCTCAATATTTTAATTTCAGCTGTGCTTCACATAAGTTTTGGTAGCAAAAGAAAAAGATAGAAAAGGCATTATAAAGGCTTTGGCTAAAAAAAATAGCTGTGGGTTTTTCAGGATTGACTAAAATTTTGATATTAAAGCCCATCCCCCATTTTCCACTTTACTTGAATCTGAGTAGACTAGGTCCTGATTAGAATGAATAATGAATCCTGTGAAATGGTTACATTATTTGAATTCATTATTTGAATTGGGTTGGAACCAATTACATATTTTACGTAATTATAACTTTGAGCAATATGTATCCAAATACTTGCAAGCCATTTCTTGGAATTCATTATTTGCACTAATCAAGGCCTATCTATAGCTAGGAATTTGTATTTTGGCAGACCAAGCCATTGATGGCACTCTTTATGCTTCTATTACACAAAGAAGTTGCCCCCAGATTTATGACCCCCAAAGTAGCTTTGATGTGTAGTCTTAAAAAAGGTGAACAGCAAAAACAAAAGAAAGGGATTAGGAAGGTATTTTTAGTTTTTTTTATTTGTTTGTTAGTTTATTTCCTAAAAAGAAAATACCAGACTATGGGGAGAGAATGTTTGAGGACTCTCTAAAAAAATGGCTAAGTATAATATATGGTTTTATGGTTAACCGTGAACTAGGGTTCATATTCCCTCTCACTTCTGACATCAGCTGACTGTGAACAAGTCTAGTACTCTATCTTAGACTTGCTTCATCAGAAAAATGGGAATAATAATTATAATAATAGCACTTATTATTGTTTAGTTGCTTTTCAGTCCTGTCTGACTCTTCATGACCCCATTTGGAGTTTTCTTGGCAGAGATACTGGAATGGTTTGCCATTTCCTTTTCCAGTACTTACTTATTGTGATCATATATTTAGAGCTAAAAGGGACCTTAGAGGCCGTTGAGTCTAATCCTTTTGTTGTACAGATAAGAAAGATGGCTCCAAGAAAGTTTGAAGAACTTGCCTACGGTCACAGTCATCAAATGTCAGGGAAGAGATGAATTTAAATTTTCCTGACTCCAAATCTAGTGCTCTGTCCCCCTAAAAGCTTCATCACTGAGTTGCTGGCAGAATCAAATGAGAAAACGTACATAAAGCATAAAGCACTATATCAAATGGGTTATGAATACCAGCAATGTTATCCTTCTGTCCCATGGAACTAGGCCCTATAACCCTATTTGTCTTCATTATGGAAGAATGGTAGAAAAAACACTGCATTTGGAGTCAGAAGACCCAGGTTCATTGACTAAATGACTTTAGACAACTCATTTAGACTTTCCAGATCTCAGTTTCTTCTGCATCTAGAAAACAAAACGCATGGCACTTTTAAGATCTGCCAAGCACTTTACATACATATATTATTTCTTTGAAAACTCACACTATTATCCTTTTGACTTGCTCTCTAAGGTGAGATCTGAAAAACTTTAAGTGAAATGCTTTATATTTTCTTTTTTTTTCCTTTTTTTTTTTGTGAGGCAATTGGGATTAAGTGACTTGCCCAGGGTCACACAGCTAGTAAGTGTCATGTGTCTGAGACTGGATTTGAACTCACGTCCTCCTGACTTCAAGGCCAGAGCTCTATCTACTGTGCCACCTAGCTGCCCTGAGTGAAATGCTTTAACTACCTAACCATTCTTCTCTGGTAAGGATTAAGAACTCTCGACTGAGGATGTAATACAGGTTTGAATCAGTATAGGCTATCAAGGAATGACAGTGATGGGCTAGAAAAAAAAAAGATACAGTACTAGGAAACAGAAGATCAGGCCTTGTTGACCGAAGATTTGTGACATTGGGCAACACATTTAACCACATTTTCTTCACTATCTATTATCTGAGGAATAATGTCTCTCTTGCCTGCTAGAAGGAAGGAAGCATTTATTCATGGGGTTCTTGTAAGGACTAAATGTGTGAAATACAGCTAACAGATCAGAAAAGTACTTTGGAAACTCTAAACTGCTATACAATTGTGAACTATTATACCTGCCTCTTTTTATACCTGCTTTTTGGATCTATTAAATTCATCCTATTTGTGCCCTG